TTAGTGCGACTTTCAGTCTACATGCAGCGATAATGACCGGGCGTTCTATTCGGGTGAAGAGGGGTAACGTGAGTTTCGACAGACTGCTGAGTAGTACGGCACAGCAGGGTCTCAACCAAGAACAACAAGATCTGGGGCAAGGTCCCACGTGCACGGATTAAGAGATCTGGCCGTTGATCTTTGCTATCTACGGTCAATATCGCTTAATTCGTGTAAGTCGGACCTAGCCCCTGATTCCAATCATTACAAGTGTGCTAAAAAAAAAAAAAAAAAGTACAAGTGTATTTGACTCAGGGCCAGGGCCTCGCCACACAACTGTCGGAAACCAGAAAAGAACGAATTCAATTCATTTCATCTACCGCAGAAATTGGTCAGGTGCATCCGTTGCTATTCATAGTAGCAACGGATGCATCTTGCCGTTCTCTGCGAGTAGATGCATGCGTACTTTTTTTTCTCGTTTCGGCAGTGGTGTGGCGAGGCCCTTAATAATCGGACGAACTGTATTCGTCCATTGATCGATCGATCGGGTTGTCTGTTAATCTCAACCTGCCAGATAATACAGTCGTATCTTCGTTTTTTTTTGTTTTGTTTTTTGTTTTTACAGCCGTATCTCAGTAAACGACGACCACGTGCGAGTAGTCCCAGTTTGGATATTCGACTGATGAGCAGGGGGCCAAGTCCCACTTCCGGAGCAGCGTTGAGTTTCCTCAACGTTCGAATCTGGACGTGTTTACGGGGAGGTGCGGTTGAGGAAACTCAACGCTATTTTCTGCACATCTCCATCAAAACGTCCAGATTCAGGCGTTGAGGAACTCAACGCTGCTAATGGGACTTGGCCACGTGGCGTGCCCTTATTTCATTCGATCAAAACACGTGGCAGCCTGCAACAACGGCAACGAGGAGCGTAATTAATTACTGGCCCCTAAGCTGCCATGACTTTTTTTTTTTTTTTCCATTATTATGAGGGAAAAAAAAATAAAAAAAATCGCCGTAACTGTTTTTTTCTATGGGACAATTGTTGAAATGCCCCTGAAAGTTGGGGTATTTTGTCAGATACCCCTAAATGGTATGGGTATGGCCAAATGCCCCTATGACAGCTGTGAAACTTTGCCAAATACCCCACTCACCAATTGGACCTGCCTTCTTGTGCATATACCCCTGTGTTCTAAGGGCATCTAACGAAATACCCGAACTTTTAGGGGTATATCAACACTTTGCCCTTCTTTTTAATAATTCTCTTTTTTTTTGGGACGGGAAATTGTTAGAAATGCCCTGTAAGTTGGGGTATTTTGTCAGATACACCTATGAGGCATGGGCATGGCGAAATGCCCCTATGAAAGCTGTGACATTTTTGCGAAATACCCAGCTCTCCAATGCCATCTTGTGCATATACCCCTACTGAGCCCTGCGCAACTTGTTCATATGCCCCGCCATTTCTGGCCATTTGGACCCTTGGACGAAAATTTGCAAACACCCCTACGCCTAGCTCCCAAGTTTTCCATTTGCCCCTGTAGCCGTTTGAAGCCCTGCTGGGAGTGTTTCTGCCAATAGAGCAGATCGTTGAGGTCTCGTCTTCTTGTTCCACGACCATGACCCTCCTTTTCCCTATTCACCTCGATCACCTTCGCTCCTCCTCTACTCTGGCCTTCCACATCCATCTCCATCATCTTCCCATCTCCATCTCTGCACCTTTCTCGTCATCTGCATCACCTCTCCTCCTCCTCCTCCTCCTCCTCCTCCTCCTCTCTGTCAGGTTGAGAGGCGGAGGAAAGGTGCTGCGGAAGGAGAAGGAAAATGACGAGCAAGGTGCAGAGATGGATACAATAAACTTGCAGATTCTTAGCGAGCTGTGACATTACTGGTGGGGTCAATTTTGTATTTTTTTCTGAGTGCGGGTTGCAGGCCTACCGGGGTAGTCCCGTCGGGGACTTTTCTGACATTTACCCGATTTTCCCACGCCCCGAATCCTTTTCCTACAGCGTGGGGACTGGTACCGAGCTGCTGGGTTGCGCCGGCCAATGTCTATCCATGGGGTCTTAGGTCTTTCGTCCGGTAGGCTGGGAGTCTAGAAATAGTGGGAGATTGAGTTGAGTCAGGTTCTTTGGTTCTTTTCCCCTTTCGTCGCTGCTGGCAGGGGATGCTTTGATGCTGCTGCCAAATTTTGTTGACGCAGCCTGCTTGAGTGGCTGCCATAGCTGGATGCCGGGCAAGCAAGTAGAAGACAGCACTGTGCTGGACGCGTCTCACTGAATTTGTCCTGTTGGGGTTGGGTGCTGCCTCTGTATCTTCTTTGTGGCAGAGAAGGATTTTGGGTTTCTCTGAGCAGGCGCTGTTGGGGTTGGGCGCTGCCTTTTCGTCGAAGTGACACTCCTCTGCTTTGTGCTGTTGGGGTTGGGCGCTGCCTCTTTCTCTGCTTTGTGCTGTTGGGGTTGGGCCCTGCCTCTTCTTCCAAGTGAGACTCCTTTATCTGCTTTGTGCGTTGGGGTTGGGCGCTGCCTCTTTCTCTGCTTTGTGCTGTTGGGGTTGGGCGCTGCCNCTCTTCTTCCAAGTGAGACTCCTTTATCTGCTTTGTGCGTTGGGGTTGGGCGCTGCCTCTTTCTCTGCTTTGTGCTGTTGGGGTTGGGCGCTGCCGCTTCTTCGAAGTGAGACTCCTTCTCTGCTTTGTGCTGTTGGGGCTGGGCGCTGCCTCTTTCTCTGCTTTGTGCTGTTGGGGTTGGGCGCTGCCTCTTCTTCGAAGTGACAGTCCTTCTTTGCTTTGTGCTGTTGGGGTTGGGTGCTGCCTCTTCTTCGAAGTGAGACTTCTTCAAAGAGAAAGAGGCAGCGCCCAACCCCAACAGCACAAAGCAGAGAACGAGTCTCACTCCGAAGAAGAGGCAGCGCCCAACCTCAACCCCAACAGCACAAAGCAGAGAAGGAGTCTCACTCCGAAGAAGAGGCAGCGCCCAACCACAACCCCAACGGCTACTTTTCCTCTTCCTTGAAGTGAGACTCCTTCAAGTTCTTCGTCCTGGCAGCTGGCGCTGCCCATCCAGATGGGCGCTGACTCAGCAGAGAGAAGGATTTGGGGTTTCTCTGAGCAGGCGCTTGAAGTGGGTTGGCCGCTGGCGGTGTTGACGGTGTGCAGGTTGGGCGCTGATGATGATGATGACGATGAGCGTCGGAGCTGGGGTTAGAGAAGTGCCAGTCCTTGGG